TTGTTTAGCCCCTGCCTGAGGGGCGGAACCCCGGGACTTTTGGACCCTAAGGACCGATTTGGGGCCGTTTAGTGAATCGGCCTGGCGCCCGACGGCCCCTGAGAGGGCCCAGCCCCCGCACCGGACTATTACAGTCCCATTATATCGAGATCCAGTTTCTCCTACAGACAGCTGGGATAGTCAACTGGTGTGAGAGGGATACTGAAGATTTTCTGTGACATATCATTACTAGCCCAAGCCATGCAATCCTTGATTATTTCCTCAACTTATTTGTCCAACCCTAGCCAACAGAAGTCTTGATGCAGTTGTCTTTTGGTTAGATTCATCCCAGAGGTCCGTCATATGCCAGATGGATCAATCGTGCTCTCAGAAATGTAGGCACAACAATATGGTCAAGTCTCAAAATGTGTGTCTGCATGGTTACAAACATTCTGATGTTATCGTCTAGTAAGACCATCTGTTGACCATGTAACTATTTGCATCTTGAAGTACCTTGTCTTCTTTCATAGTCTGAGGGTGAGCAACAGCCGTGATCACTCCTTGAGTTGTAGCAAAGATTTGTGCAATAGGAATCTCTATATCATCTTTCTGTATTGCACCCTCACGGCATGGGCAGGTGAGAGAGAATCTGCCATAGGGAATCTGCCAACTGAAAGATACTGTCTGGAAATCAAAGTCCATTAGTTTGGTGGCCCACTTGGCAATTCTTGGAGTGCTCATCCAGAACGTTATCTGGTCAATAAAGCTGAAAGAGGTTTATGGTCAGATTTTAAGGTAAATCTCCTACCTCATAGGTAAGTTCTGAAGTGTGTTACTGCCCAGAAACATTCCAGAGCTGCTTTCTGAATGAAAATAGGATTTTTCTGGGTCAGTCAGGGATCTGGAGGCTAACGCAATAGTGATTTATTGTCCATTTTTTAGCAAGACAGTACCAAGACTGCACTCACAAGCAAACAATTCTCATAACACATGCTTCTCAGAATCAAAAGGGCATAGAGCCAGGCTGGTGGAAATTGCACGTTTGATCTTATTAAGACTGTATTTGCACACTTCATCGCAATCAAACCTGACATCCTTTTTTAGGAGTTGACACAAAGGAACTACTTTCATGGAAAATTGCTGGACAAACTTTGAAAAGTATTCTCCCAATCCCAAGAGGGATAGAAGTTTGTCTTTGTTGTCAGGCTCTGGTGCACCATGAATGGCTTCTACTAGGTCTGGTTTTGGTTCTATGTCATTTCCAGAGATAGCATTTCCTAGATAGGTCACTGAGTTGCTATGGAATTGACATTTCTTCTTGCTTGTGGTAAGTCCATGTCGTTTAAGTTTTTCTATAACCTTTTTTAGGATGACATGTTTGGATTTATGTTTGCCACACATTATAATGTCATCTTGAAAGTAAAGATCCCTTCTCTCCAAAAATCTGATGCATCATTTTCTGGAACATTCAGAGGCTAACCCAAACAGCATCTGTTTGAATTAGACAAGCCTTCTGGAGAGATGAAAGCTGTGTACTTGCAGAATTCTTCCATTAAGAAGATCTATTGGTAAGCTGAGGATAGATCAATGGTTGTAAAGACTCTTGCCTCCTTCAAGTTGAGCAGCATTATACTGACATTGGGTAGAGGATAACAATCATGTTGGAGTTTAGAGCGCTCAAGTCCACAGATGTGCAGATTGCACCACTAGGTTTCCTGGTGAGAAGAAATTCATTCTGATGAATCAACCAGTTTTCAATGATCTCTTCTTTGCATAATTTCAGACTTTCCTTCTTGAGCAGTTGTCTCAGTGCTATTGGTTCATTTAGCATTTTATGCTGTACAGGCACCACATTGTTTTTTAGCCGAATCTTTTGCTTGAACTTTTTTGCAACCTCTGGGGTATCGGAGGAAACTTCTGGAAAGTCTAGATGTTTCCTGGTTGTAGCCTATCCTCAGTTTGTGAGACAGACTCTGTACTATTTGGATCTAATATCATCTGAAGATCCCTTTGATTTAATCCTACAATAGAAATTTCATTTTGGGCTACATAGATTTTGTGCTTGGATGTTACAGCCTTTGTACTCGAGGGCAACTGTAAAATAGCCATTGATGGGGCTAGGAGATCCACCATACTCTCTGGGGTATATGTTTGGAGCGTTCAACTTTGGTTGGGAACTGGCAAATAGCACATTGTAGAGCTGGTTGGGAATTACAGTATAAAGCAAACCAGAATCTGCTAACATCCTCATCTTATGGCCATTGACTTGCACTTGGCAAGGTGGGGAGTGATGTGGTAATCTCCTGTCACATTGAGAATGCCATCAGAATTCAGTTCTACATCATCCTCATCTGTGAGAACTCCAGATACAACACTGACAAGACTTACAGACTTTAGCAAAACATCCTTTTTTGTTGCATTTCTTGCATACTGATTTCTTAGCAGAACAAACTTGAAAGTATGCCTTGTGACCAGGGTCACCATATCTGTAACACTGGTAGCAATGTGGTGTGTGGAAGGCTAAAGGCACTGTGCATGTAGACTTAGGAGCTCTGCAAGTTGCAGTCTTGTATCGGACTATATTAACCTATGTAGGCTGGAAGAACTCTGGTGTCGCACAAAGTAACTTAGCACAGTGAATGGCACTCTTCACTTGTTGGGTGGTTTCTGTGGCTTTCTCCAAGGTAAGGCCTTTTTATCGGGAGGTGTCATCCATGAATCTTGGTACTTCTCATCTTCGTGACAATCTGATCTCTAATCATTTCATCTGTGAAATTGGCAAATTCACAGGTTACATTCAAGTAATGCAGCTACGTAGCAGTCGATGAGCTTGTGAGGCATGGGACTAGAACTTGAAACATTCGGCACCAATATTTATTAGAGCGATCATCCAGGGCTCGGAGAGCAGCACCATTTTGTAGTAAACTAGTAGCAGAAGGGAGATGCTTGAAGACTTCATTGCTCTTCAGGACCAAGGCTATAAAGCAGTAAGGCTTTCCACTTTTCTGGAGTGTAAGTAGAAGTTTCTATAGCAAGCATATTGCTGCTGAAATAAGACTTCCTTGATTCCCATGGAAGTGGAGGATCTCCCAGGGAGGCATGAAGAATGGGGGAAGCGAAACTTGTGTCATGGTAATAACATGAAAGCAAGCTGGAGACATCCGGTGAATAAAGCAAGAATGGTGGAGAACAATCAGCTGGTAAGAAATGCTGGTCACAGAAATAGCTGACTGGCCCTTCAAACTACCTTTGTGGTACTGCTCGGACACTCAGAATTGCAGAGGAATATATCTATTGGCAAAAAGGAGTATGTTGCAAAAAGGAGCAGTTGCAAATAACAGCAGGCTTTTAGGCCTCCAGAGTTTCCCTGGGAGCAGCAACAGCAGGAATCATGAATAGAGTGACCAGATGTCCCGTTTCTAAAGGTACAGTCCCATTTTTTGGGACTTTTTCTTATATAGGCGCCTATTACTCCCCATCCCATGTCCCATTTTTTCACAGTTGCTATCTGGTAACCCTAATCATGAGGCACTTGGATAAGTTAGATTTGTGTTTCTCTATGCTTCTTTTATGCTCAGTGCCAGTTTGTTTTGTACCTGAACCCATCTGAGGAAGACTTGGGAAGCTTAATAAAAGCAAAGATGAGATTTAGTCACTTTTTAACAGAGCTCACATTCTTCCTTTTCTTCTCCTCTTTCTTCTCTCTCCCCACCCTCTGAGCATCCTGGACCCAAGGCTACAGGAACCACCTAAAAACAAATTTACAAATGCAAACTGGGGTAGCTATCTGCACCTAGCTAAATACAACAGTAGGTTTAATAATTTGCATCCCTTTGCCCGTTAAACATGGTGTGTATAGGGATGCAGTTCTGCAGTGAAATAAATGATTTTGTGAGGGTGCAAAGCAATACATTATTTGTCTCCTATTTGTTTGAGGTCCCAACTGTGCACCAATGCAAGTGCACCTGCGCTCTCAGAGGTTTTTTGGTTTTGTTTTGCTTTGACAGTTGTGCACTTGGAGGTTTTGTTTTTTTTTCCGCTTGGGATGGCAAAGAACCTAGAGCCGGCCCTGACTCCTTGTGAAGCTGAATCATTCAGTTGTTCTTGGAAATCAAACACAAAATTGATGCAAACATGGCTGAGGTGCATTAGTTCTTAATTTGATTGGTAACTTACCAGGTGTAACAAGTATTACAATTCTTGCATTTTTCCAGTGCAGTTGCTATCTCTTTGGAGAAAGAGCATGATGACACAAGAAAGAAAAAGATATGATGAATTTTAATCATTCAGGAGTTCTGTCTGTTTAAGGGAGCCTTTCTATAACTATGTGTTCTGTTGGATTAATACTTTGCTGTAACTGGACAATTGAGTTGTATCTGGTGAGTAGAGCCAATGGAAATTGCATCATTGTGAGGGGGGAAATTGTTACTCATTATGCCAATTTAATTAAGTGTAAGCAATGATCCTCCTATGTAGTGCGATTCACAAACTTTTCCCAAGTGAAAGCAAAACCTTAAAGATGGCTTTGTGCCCCCTCCACCTGTTTTTTATTTCTCTTTGGGACTCCGCAAAAAATTTTGAATTCACAATGAATTTATCCTAGTGGGACAAATTGCAGAGTTACTACTTTGCTCTCCTAGGCCCTGATTCTGAAGGCACTCCACATATAGGTGAAGCAGCTATTCAAATTCATAGATTCCAATGCCAGAAGGGACCATTATGATCATCTAGTCTGACCTCCTGTATAACACAGGCCATAGAACTTCCCCAAAATAATTCCTGGAGCAGATCTTTAAAAAAAAATCCAATCTTGGTTTAATAATTGGGCCCTTCTGTTTAACACTGTTCACATTACTCGTTTTTGATGCACTACGTTCATGTTAAATGAAAATCTGCCCTTAAAAAGTAATATTGTACACAAACTTTTTGTATAGTTTCAAAAAGCTTTTTCCCTTGCATTTCCTGGCTTCACCAAAAAGCGGAACTCTACTTTATCTGCCAGAGGCATTTTTTGCAGTATATCCTGTCCACATTCTGGAGGTTTCGCAATAAATCCTGATATGAAGTTAATAGCCTGCTGAGGTTTGAAGGTGTATCTTAACTTTTGAATGCTTGCCAAAATAACCCTATAAAATTTTGAGGTTTGCCCTTAAAATTCAACACACTTCTCAACACCATCAGCACTATTATGAAGCTATTTGCAGTAATTCATGTTTCATCTTATACTGCATCATAACATCTATCTTAGAACAATAGTGATCAAACAAAGTGACCATTTGTTTTCCTATCCCAGATGTCTAGGTTAAATTGTAGAATCCTCTCAGAAGCTGTATGCAGTATTGACTATTTTTTCAAATGTAATTCTGGTTAATTATCATTACACATAACCCAAGTATTTCACTGGCTTGCAGATTACTGTTCCGTGAGATGTTCTCTGTTGTGGTACTACATGAAGTTGATGCATTTATATTGTCTATTAACTATCTTTAATTTTCCAGTAATTGTAAGTCGGAAGAAATATGCAAGTGTATAGACTATATCTGTGTCAATTTTTGCAAGGGAAAGTTTAGATCCATCAGAGTTTGGGAGAGAAAATATAGACACAATATTGATATTGCTGAAAAGGTTTGATTAAGATAATGAATTGACAGGTATGGATTTGGAAGAGAACTAAAGGATTTAGAGGAAAATACATGCTCTGATTCAGGATGTGTTTGTACTATTTAAAAAAGCAATAAAATATGTACAAGTAATCAGATATAGGGACTACTGCAATCCTACTGGGACACAGAATATGCTTATAGTACAAAAAAGAAGCTGTATGACAGAAATGATAGTACAAAACATTAAAGAGACAAGAAGATGATGAAGCCAATCACAAATGCTCTAAAATATCATTGGGAAAGTTATACTGACAATAAGTAAAGGATTCTTCTGGAAGTGAATAGAAACAATAAAAGATTATTTTAATACTCAAAGTGGAAGAGATCACTGAGGGACCATGAAGAGATGTTGAAATACAGTTTTTCTTGTGTCTTGTTTCTAATTTAGTGCTTGTCCTCAGTATTCACCAGGAAAATTAGAAGTGAAACATAAGAATGGAAGACAGTTTTCAAAGACTGAAAAATAGAGAGCACCGGTCACCAGCAGTAGGAACCTTTCTGTTGCTATTACCACAACAGGCTGACACAGTGTCTGAGTAGATTAAATTGTTCAGGTGTCAGAGAATGTAATAGCTCTAATAATAAAGATTTAACAAGTCCTTGGTGGGAGAGAGCAGATATAGAGGAATTAGATACAGGTCATAATCTCACTATTTGGGACAGTATATAGTTAAGAGCCAAAGAATTACTGAGGCTAGGTCCTTATATAACTTAACTATCGTTCTTAAATCAGGACGT